CTTTTTACTAATTGCACTCTATTGGCTTTAGCCCTCCTGAGGATTGGTTTTTCAGGCCACCTCTCGGCTTATGTGGTCACACTTCCGATTTGTCCACATGTCGGCATTTGTTAAAATACACAGCCCTTGTCACTGTTCTGGTTTCACAGGAGGCCTTTCTGTGGTGCTGGGGCTCACTCAGCTCTGTTTTCCGTGCCCCCCCCCTCAGCCCCCTTTTACCCAGTCATCATGGTTAGAATTAAGTGCCCGGTGTCTGCTTCCTCACAGTATAATCCATGCTGTTCCCTGCTGTGTCTCTCATCCTGCCTCCGCCAATAAATGCCAGTCACTCAATAAACAAATGCTGAACGAAGGATGCATTAGACGGATGGACGGTCCTTCCTTTCTCTGGTGTTATATCAGCAATTTAGTACGAAATCACCGAGTAGAAACCGTGGAGTCTCATTGTTGAGGAAGAAGATTGAGGTGTGTAGACATTCCAAGATTATGTAGGACAATAAATAAGCTGAAAGAATATATGCATTTGGAATTTATTTTATCTCAGAGTCCACGATAAGACCTTTTGTTTGAATACAGATCCAATGGAATGTAAAGGCTTTACGCTGAATTCATGCCTAACATTGCTAGCAGTCCATAGTTTTGTTTTTTCAACCTTATATATGCCAGTTACTCTTCCTTTCGCTCCTCTTGATGTTCATTATGCTCTGAAAACACAATATCTAGGTGAAAGCAAGCGACATATGCAACGCCGATTCAGTATTTATGCAACGTGACACGGACGTGGTGTAAATACTGGATTGTGCTTTCCTCTTGGCATTAGTGGGAAAACATGGCTACGTTCTGCAGAGATGAGAGCCTCGAACAGAAAGCAGCACCGCCTTTCTCACGCAAGATGCTTATGTTCCTCACATGCTCAAGTTCAACTGATACTAAAGGCATATATTTACTGATTTCAGAGAGGAAGGGAGAGGGAGAGAGAGAGAGAAACATCAATGATGACAGAGAATCATTAATGGGCTGCCTCCTGCACACCCCCTACTGGGGATGGAGCCCACAACTTGGGCATGTGCCCTGAGCAGCAATCTAACCGTGACCTCCTGGTTCACAGGTTGACAATCACTGAGCCACGCCGGCCGGGCTAAAAGTAGTCTTATTGTAAATATCCTTGAACCCTTTTCAACTCAGGAGCTCCTTGTAGCTGAGTGGTTTGTACACAGAACTCCTCACATGTTATTTACTCCGCTGACCTCATACAGAGGTAACAGTAAGAGACGTCATTTTTGGGAAGGAGAAGAGGAGCATACTTCCTACATTTGCACCCATTTGGCAGCGATTTCTTCCTGATGTATGGCAATAAACACGTACCAGGGTAAGCACAAAGCTCCGCATTCTGCTGCTGTCCCAATAAAAACCAACAACAATGCGGAATGTGAAATAAATTGACTGTGTGATCTCCTGGTATAGCTTTCCTCAGTTTAGGGTCCAATTCAGACGTCGCCTATATGCTTATACAGAGCTGGCTATCGAGTGAACTGAATTTTAAGTCGCCTCTCGATCATTTCTGGGTTTCTATTCGATATGCCAGACAGAGAAAACTGGCATTTTCTGCAGATGAATAGAGCTCACACTGAAGTCAGCACAGAGTGCAGACATGGCGGGACCACCAGCATGCCCGTGGGTGAGAGGAGTGTGTTTCTATGCGAACAAATACATGCACCATTTCATCCCAAGCGCCTTTCATAGGAAGAGTGCCGCCATCCAGGATGGGGTTCAGTACATTTTCTCCTTTCTGAATTGGCAGAATAGAGTCCTGAGTGGTTGCTTTATCATATTCCCATTTCCCTCCTCTCCCAGGGGTAAACGGGTATATTCTGAGTCTTCTTTCACCTTTGAATCAGGTTTAAATATGTCTTTAATTTCCTATGTCCAAGGATACCATAAACTACTGATTTATCAGCTCTCCTTTACCATGCTCAGTCCTCTAAACTACAGGCAGTACATTTTCCTCGACGAAGTGACGAAGTCACATCAGCATTAAAATGCTGCCTCCGCATCTCAGGCAAAATGCATTTTTCCAAATGCAACGCCACTCGGAGCGAGGGAGGCGGCTGCGGCGAGAAATGGTGTGTAATCCATTGCTCAGCTGTGCTCTGTGACCTAATAAAACAGCACTTTTCCTGCACAAACATGTCCGGGAAGAAAAAGGAATGTCACGACACATTTCATTCTGCCATCTATGCTGGAATGGCCAGTTTTTCACCGAGCACGAAGGGCTGGCGTACTTTTCTCTGTCCCCGCGGTGCCCACAGACAGCCAGTAGCACAGTCAACCTCCAGGTGCACAGAGGGGTACCCTGTTCATAAGATGCAAACAGACAAAGGAGCAGGACGGACAGCTGCTGCCGAGCCCTGGCGGCAAAAACATAGGCTGAACTTATTCCATGCCCCTGATGACTGATAGCTCAGGGCCCTTTAAGATTCTCCAGCAGCACAGTGCTGACAAACTCACATCATTTCTCCAGCTAACGAGGAGAGGCCCTCCTCACAGGTGGGCATTTCCAGGCTGAACTTGAGCAATCCGTCTCTAAAGAGTGACGTGTGTTGTGTGGCCGCCCTCACTGACCCTGAGCGTTATGAAACAGCACAGCGTTGCTTCATGGGTGTGTGATCTCGGCCCCGGAAACCCCTTTCGGGAGCTGGTTTGACCCTTTTCACAAGGAGGGAGTTCCCTGAGCTGGAAAGCAGACAAACAGGTGCTTTCTGGACGGACAGTGGCTCCCGGGACTAATGAGGCTGTGGCAGGGCCGGGGGAGAGAGGGCCTGATGGATGAGTGGTGTCTGCGGGCTCTGAGAATTGGAAGCAGGTGCACACAAGCCACCCAGCAACCGTCCTGGGCTCCACTATCTCTAAAGTTGCTTCACGCTCTACAATTCCATTCTTCTCTGAAATATTGCAGCTCTAACTGGCTATTTCCGTTTTCAAACTACGGAGTGTTGTAGCTGAGGACAGAAACCGGTCCCCCGTACACACATTAGCCTGTTCTAGACGCGGGATACCTCCTCCAGCGGTGCAATTTCACGGGGCAGCACCCATCGCTCTGAGAGCCTGAAAATGCCCCAGGGACCGTGGTTCTTGTAGGACCTGGACCCGCCATGCGGCCTGGGCTTTCTCTCGGGGGGCACCGTTGGCATTTCAACCTCCTGGGCCTTTCCCTCCCCCCAGAAGTCCACCCGCATCGGCGGTGGTCCGACAGCTAAGCCGTCCCCGCAGGCTGAGGGCTCCTCTGGGCGACAGAGGCGGCAGAGGGGACGAGGGCACTCCAACCCTCCCCTCCCGGCAGGCGGGTCCCGTGCAGCGGACACCGTGACCGGGCCTGTGTCAGGAGAGTTGACCAGTCCACACCCAGAGCAAGGAAAGCATCCTTTCCTTGTTTCCCGGATGCCCAGTTCTCAGGAGAGTGTTCCCGAGGGGAAGCCACGGTGCCCAGTGCGGGGACTTACACTTAGGGGTTGATTGAAGCAACAACAAGCCTGAGATGCCTCTGAGCGCCGCGCTGGCGGGAGGGGGGACGTGGCCGTCACAGGAAGCAGAGTGCCTGCCGACCGCCATCACAGGAGCCGCCTGCCCCGTGTCCCCCCGGGAGTGCGCGGACCGCTCGGTGAAGGTAAAATGGCCCAGGTCACCCCTGCTCCCTCGAGGGGCAGGCCGGAGGCAGACAGACACACACTAGAGCAGTGTTTTTCAACCTTTTTTGGGCAAAGGCACACTTGTTTCATGAAAAAAATCACGAGGCACACCACCATTAGAAAATGTTAAAAAATTTAACTCTGTGCCTATATTGACTATATATAAAGTAATTCTCTTGAATAGGAATCAAATAAACACAAAGAAAGTATTTTATAATTACTTTATTATGAAATATTAAGTAAACAAAATAGTGAAAAATTATAAAATTCTTGTCTTGTCTGCACCTACGGCACACCAGGCAACATCTCGCGGCACACTAGTGTGCCGCGGAACAGCGGTTGAAAAACACTGCACTAGAGTTTGTGTCCAAGAACATCACTTGCTCTTCATGCAAACGCAGTGTTTCTATTTGCCCAGATTTATTGAAAATCACTCAAACCACCCAGTCATTACAACGAATCATGACCAACTCCCTCCCTAGAAAACATGGCCTCAGCACAGGCTTCCGGACCAAGTTAACAGACCAGTGCAAGCAAGCAGACCACAGCGCCCACCTCCGTCCGGCACTCCCCCTCTGCCCCCCAGGCGCTCACCTATGAAGCAGGACAGGAGGACAGCCAGGAGCACGGACACCCCCCGCCCCCCGGAGCTCACCTATGAAGTAGGACAGGAGCACAGACATACCCCCCCCCCCCCCATGGAGGCGCTCACCTATGAAGCAGGACAGGAGCACGGACACCCCCCCCCCCCATGGAGGTGCTCACCTATGAAGTAGGACAGGAGCACAGACATACCCCCTCATGGAGGCGCTCACCTATGAAGTAGGACAGGAGCACAGACATACCCCCTCATGGAGGTGCTCACCTATGAAGTAGGACAGGAGCATGGACACACAGCCCCCCCCCCCCCCCCCCATGGAGGCGCTCACCTATGAAGTAGGACAGGAGCACAGACATACCCCCGCATGGAGGTGCTCACCTATGAAGTAGGACAGGAGCACAGACATACCCCCTCATGGAGGTGCTCACCTATGAAGTAGGACAGGAGCACGGACACACAGCCCCCCCCCCCCCCCCCCCCCCCATGGAGGTGCTCACCTATGAAGTAGGACAGGAGCACAGACATACCCCCTCATGGAGGGTGCTTCACCTATGAGTAGGACAGGAGCACAGACATACCCCCCCCATGGAGGCGCTCACCTATGAAGTAGGACAGGAGCATGGACACACAGCCCCCCTCTCCCCCCCATGGAGGCGCTCACCTATGAAGTAGGACAGGAGCACAGACATACCCCCCCCCATGGAGGCGCTCACCTATGAAGTAGGACAGGAGCACGGCCAGGAGCACGGACACGCCGAGTGCGCATAGCGCCGTGCACTTCCAGCTGCAGTACTTGGAGGACTTCTTGAACTTGAAAGCGCTTCTGGACAGCGTGTTTCTGGGCAGCGGCCGGGTGGGCGGCGAGTACACGGAGCCCGAAGCCATGGTGTATCCTGGGGTTGCGGTGCTGAACAGCGGCGTGGTGCCCGTCCCTGTTTTGAATAGGAAGTGCCTGCAGGACGGAGAACAGCGTTACACGTCAGCACCCATGGTGGGCACACGTGTCAGCGTTACACGTCACCATCCATGGCGGGCACACCTGACAGCGTTACACGTCAGCATCCATGGTGGGCACACGTGTCAGCGTTACACATCACCATTCACGGCGGGCACACGTGTGTGAGAACGTGGGGATGGATGGCGGGGTGTCCGCTCTCCTGTCTCTTTAACTGTCTACTTCGAATTGTTTTAAAAAACCTGGAAATTGAGAAGATATTTTAGCCCAGCTGGTGTGGCCCAGTGGTTGAGCGTTGACCTATGAACCAGGAGGTCACAGTTTGACTGCCATCAGGGCACAGGCCGGATGTCAGGCTCGATCCCCAGTGCGGGGCGTGCAGGAAGCAGCCGATCCATGATTCTCTCTCATCATTGATGTTTCTCTCTCTCCCTCCCTCTCCCTTCCTCTCTGAAATCAATAAAAATATATTTTAAAATAAAACAATAGGATTCTTTTAAACACACACACACACACACACACACACACTCACACACACTCACACACACAAAGAAAATATTTTAACCAAAAAAAAAATTTAAAAAATAGCCAACTCATGAAAAGGCTGAGGAAGGAGGGTCTGTAGTGTGGACAGCAGAGCTGAGGCCTGACAATGCCAGCCGCTGTCCCCTCCATCAGGCAGGGAACTCGACAGCCTGGACAGCTATTCTGACCGGGCCATTCCTGCACAGACCATCCCGGAACTGCCCTGTACGAGCTGCCTTAAGAGCTTCTCCCCATTTCCCTGCAGACAACAGCCTCAGGAGCACTAGCTACCCCGTGAGAGCACGCGCTCCTGTAAGCACAAGCGCATGCTCAGGCCACGGATGGTTCAGTTCCCCGTGTCCCTGGCAAACTCCATTCCTCGCCACCCTCCACGAACGGGACCCTTCAGCTTGGTGGGTTAAAGAAAGGAGATAATTAAATTCTAGGTAACGCATGTTTTTCCTTCTGAAATTCCCCCCGTGACCCTGCTCTGCCCGGCCTCTCAATTCCAACAACTGCCAGGAGACACAGACAAGATGAGAAGTAAAAACTGTCTGAGTGCGTGGGGTTTCCCGATGCTCAGACTAGGGGTAGGGGGCGGGAGTGGAGCAGACTGGGGTATCACCATGATGTTTGGGAGAAACGCGGTGGGAGATAAAAGGGTCCCCCTCTTCTCCCCTGACCAGGAGAGGTGACAATGGCCACGGGTTCCCCAGCTTGGGGAGCGAATCTGCCCAGTGCTCTGTGGCAAGTCTGGGAGGTGAGGGGCAGAGTTTCCAGAGACATCTGAGGCTCTCACTCCCATTTCCATGACACCCTGCGGGCTGAGGGCACAGGACTAGCAGAAAATAGCCAGATGACGCCAGAAACAAGTGTGGCAGCCAGCCGTTGGTCCAGGGCCAAAGGCAGTCCCTGGCACTAGAAAGGATTTCTGCAGAAAAGGAGAAACAGAGAGGATGGGGATATAATCATCCCGTTTGAAAGACAAAGACTCCAGGAGATAAAGATTCCCCCTAGATGACGATATTTCCTCATGAAGGATCCGGGAGAGGGAAGAGGGGGGCGGAGGTGAGGGCAGGAGATAGTCTGGTCCCCAGAGACAGAGGCCCCGCCCGCCGGCTCCCCTACAAGACGGAGCCTGGAGGAGACCAGGACATCGAACACCTGCAGGGCCAAGGCGTCCCATGGAGAAACGTGGCTGTGGAGCCCAGGGCATGCTGCAGAGAGCTCCTGAGGCTCCTGCGACTCAGCACTGAGTGTGCGAAGTAGTTACGTTTATGGCCTCAGGACCGGCAAAGACATGGCAGAGCGCGTACTGGCCCAGAGAGGCTACACGGAGAGCAATGTGGCCACCTCGGCAGCAACGTGGGGATCCGTAAGGAGGGAGCTGGAGCCATGGCAACGCAGCGGCTTCCCGGAGAAGACCCGAGCACCCGACACCCCACCCTGCACCAGCAGCCCAGAGGAGGGAGAGCCCCGGCTGTCTGAGTGACGTGTCCAAGGTGAGGGCTTCGGGTAAAACACAGGGGTGGGAAAAGAGAACATCGGTTAGCGTACCGGGCTGATGGGGGAGGATAATCTAGCCACTGCACACATCTGTCATCTGTCTGCTCTAGAACTTCCTATTCTCCTGGAGGAATTCCAGAATGACAGGAAGTCCCTGGGGCACAGTAGTTGCTCAATAAACATTGTAAAATAAATAAAGTGGTGACCATGGTGCCGATGCAAAACGTGAGTCCTGGAGAAGGTAAGCACCTTGGACAAGGAGCGACAGCTAACAGTAAGTAATTACAATCCTCTCTAATGAAAGAGAAACATTCAGATTGACCATATCTTCACTACACCCACAAGCCACGCCCACCAGCCAATCAGGGCGAGTATGCAAATTAACCCATCCAAGATGGCTTAATTTGCAAATTCAGGCCAGAGCAAAGACTGAAGACAGAATAGAAAGAAGTCAAGTGCTGCAAAAGGGAGTGAAGCTGCAGAGAAGCAAGCAAGTGGGGTGGTGGAGACGGCAGAGAAGCAGGCGGGGTGGGGAGAAGGCAGAGAAGCCAGTAGGGCTGCTGAGAAGGATGAAAGCATGTGGGGCAGGGAGAAGGGAGAGAAGCAGGCGGGGCAGTGGAGGCCCAGCAGAAATCTCTACTGCAGGAATTTTCCTGCAGGGGCATCTAGTCTATAATAATAAAAGCACAATATGCTAATTAGATCGGGTGTCCTTCCAGATGAAGTGGGGGCTGCGAGGGAAGCCCGGGTCCTGGGTGCCTTTCTTCATTGTAAATAAAGAAAGAACGGGACAAAGTCTATGAAACATCTGGTTGCAAGCACTGGACAACTGGCAATGCAGAGTTTTGACTGCTCAGAGAACGGAAACAAAGGGAGAGAGCCCTAATACGTATGCCCCTGATTTTCTGCCTGAAGAAACTGTCTGGATCATACACAGTACGTGGAAAGGGGTTCTACACAGAGCACGGTGGTCTCACTGAGTTGGGGAAACAGGTCTAGGATCAGGGAGGCTGCAGGGGTTGGACTTAGTGGGCCTGTGTATCAGAGGGAAGGCACAGCCCAGATAAAGAGGCCCACACATGCATGGGGCCTCATTGCATCTCTGTCTGAATATTGTGCCTTGCATACTTACAATGAGATTTCAAGTGGTTGGTCAAAGAACAATTACTGAGGACGGAACAAACTACTAGGAAGCAGTAGGCTAAACAAGTCCCAGCACTAACGAAGAATTGAGAGATGGTGGAGTTCTGATTACACACAGTAATGAGGCCTTTTTTTTTTTTTTTTTTTTAACACCTGGTAGAGTTAATACCCCAGAAGGGCCAAGTCTTGATATTAAGGCTAAACAGCCCTAGATTAAAGGCCACCGAAGTCCATACCAACAGAGCTTACATTCAAGTCTTGAGAGCTGGTCTGCAGTCAATTTAACTGTCTTCCAGGCAAACTGCTCTTTAAAAGAACAAAAGGTTAGACACTCAGCACTTACTGGGAAGAAGCAGCAAAGTGGGAATCAGAAAATGTAGACTAAAAACAAACCACCAATAAAGATTGAAAGCAGATAAGAATGTTAGATAGCTATTATAAATAGGTTGAGGAACTTAAAGGAAAGCATGAACATAATAAGGAGATAAAGAGAAGATAAAGAAAAGAACAAAGTGACCCCTAGCTGGTTTGGCTCAGTGGATAGAGCGTCGGCCCTGGGACTGAAAGGTCCCAGTTTGATTCCAGTCAAAGTCACATGCCCGAATTGCTTGATCCCCAGTGGGGGGCATTCAGGAGACAGCCAATCAATGATTCTCTCTCATCATTGATGCTTCTATCTCTCTTTCCCTCTCCCTTTCTCTCTGAGATAAATAAAAAAAATATATATAAAGTAAAAAAAGAGGAAAGAGCAAAGCGGAACTTCTGTAATAAAAGGCAAATCAACCAAATGGTGGAACAATCGGTCCCAATGATGCACACTGAGCACCAGGGCAGACGCTCAGTGCAGGAGCTGTCCCCTGGTGGGGTGGTCAGTGCGCTCCCACAGGGGAGTACCACTCAGCTAGAAGCCCTGAGCCAGGCTCACATCAGGTGATTGCAGCAGCATTGGCGGGAGCCTCTCCCACCTTCATGGCAGCCCTAAGGATGTCTGACTGACGGCTTAGGCCTGTTCCCTCTCTGGAATATCTCCTGAGGGCTCCTAGTCTACAAGAGGGTGCAGGTCAGCCTAGGGACCTCCCCCCTCCTAGGGACTCTAGTAATAAAATAAAAACAGTTAACCAAAAGTTGGCAATTATAGGGACCAAAATGAAGACCTTCCCTGGGAACTCTGTTATCGTTTTATTCAAAGACATTTGGGTCATTTCTTCATGGGAAATGGGATTTGAACCCGGGCCCGTGGGACGCTACCACATTATTTTAGCCTTGACACTAAAAACATGTACTTGCTGTGCGCAAACACAATGAGCCGGACTCACGCCAACGTCAGCTTAGACATCTCTGTTCCAACCCCTGAGGTTTGTGGAATTGGTACCAGATGCTCGTCTGCTTTGGTGATCACGGCAAAGCACTCTTTCAAGGCCCAGCCTTGTGTTAGGGTGAAATCACTTTCCTTAGAGCAAAATGCAACTGTGAGATATTGCCAGAAATAAAGATGTAATAATATTAAAAAATCCATTATCTGTAATAACAAAAGCATCATATGCTAATTAGACCGAACGGCTGGACCACCTTCCAGATGAAGCTGGGGCTGCAAGAGCCGAGGCAGGCCACCGTGGCTATGAGGGCCGAGCCCTAGCAGGAGTTCCCTGCATCCGGCCTCTAGTTCATCAGTACGAGTGGAACTGAAGACTGCTTTATCTTAAAAGAGATTCTAACTTATTTGTACACAAATTTACTTGTGTTGTTGCAAGAGACATACTTTGGCCACTCTCTTTCCATCGCAGGGGTACACTTCCCCTTGCTCTAGTGCCCACGCATCTCAG